ATATATATATATATATATATATATATATATATATATATATACACAAGTCACATATGGGTAACCTCAGCTAAGTCACCAAGCTTACACAGATTTATATCACACATTTCATTTCACAGTAATGATGTATATCACACATTAACAGTAATGACTACAATCTTACGCGGGAATACAAAACAATATCTTAAAATATTCAACATTAAACAAACAGACTTATGCGATGAAGAAGGACAGGTTCAAAATTTTAAACATATAATATATGAATGTAAACGATTTGACAGACAGCGATTTGAGTTAATAAAAAGCATAGTTATCAAAAGCGGAAATTGGCCTGAGACGGAACAAAAGTTATTTACTGAATTCAAGACAGACTTTCTTAGATTTATTAGATCTATCGACTTCGACAGCGTGGATGAATTCTTGTTAGCTTTGTTGAATTGACTTTCTGTGTTTAATATTTAATATTCCGATTTATTATTATTTTTGTGTGGTTATTATTTGTATTCTTCTTTGTTAATGTATATAAATTTGAACTAAAAATGTTTATCATGTAAAACTAGAAAAGAAACAAATTTAATTCATGTAGTATGTCTTTAAGGCATGGAGCATGAAGGAAAATCAAATTAACGATCCTTGTGTGGGGTTACCACGTAGGGAAAAAAAAAGTATATATATATATATATATATATATATGTGTGTGTGTGTGTGTGTGTGTGTGTGTGTGTGATGTATTTAATCAATGTTTATAAAATGAAAAATAAATTTCATTAATCAGCTAAATTATTACTTTTATAATTAATTTCGGGAATATGTAACTGTTAACCAATATGTAACTGTTATTCCCAAACACGTATTAATAAAAAAAAAATAATGTTTGCTCTATTTATATTACAAAAACCTATAACTTTATAGATTTAGGGGATTAAGGATTCGATATGACTGAAGGAACTGAAAAGTAACTGATACGAGGCAGCTGCTGGAATCCTTGAAATAACTAAATTTAGACTTCGCTAAAGCCTTCGTTGATGTTAATATGTTTGGCATCTGTGTTGTCTTTAAATATCTCGCCCTCTTTATAACCGCTATAGGTCTCTTCGTTCGGGCCAGCTTTATATTTCAATACTAATTTTTATATTTATATTTTTAGTGTTCGTATTAAATATAGGATGAAAAAAATGCGCTCGAATATTTTAAGATTTTTAAATTATGTCATGTTATATTCATTCAGATGTATTTTTATCTGTTATATTTATCTTAATAAGTATCTTAGTTTATCAACTTTGAGTGTCTAAATTAAATTTATTATAAGTATTTATTATAGTTCAACATCTAAGTTGCCAAAATACAAGAAGATCGGAAACAATAATTCTGTATCATTGATGTTTCTTTACAATTATTTATTAATATTATCTGTACTTCTATGTGACTTTCGTACATCAAAGTTCAATAAATATCCGTTTTCTTTTTCATTTTGTTTTTTATTAGCGCACTATAAATACATTACAATACATTATAAAAATATTTCAGGCTTTAGCTTGGATTAAATAAACATTTTTTTTAAATTATAATATTTATTAGAAAATTACTCAGATCAGTGAGTAAGGCAATGTATTGTGTGGCAGATGATTATTCTGTTACAACAGCGACTCTGGGGTCAGTAAACCCTTCCCGTTGCACATCTAGCCTCTATTAATTGGGTATTCTTAATTATTTAATTGATTAAGGAAAAAAAACCTAGCATGATAATTACTTAAATATATGTTATTAAACCCAAGAATCTACATACATCTCTTGGTTTTTACATGGTTAAATGTATTAATACCAATTTACTTAGGAATCTAGGAGTTATTTTCGTTTTTAATTTAATTTAATCATATGCTGTATACATTAAATCAATAAATAATAACAAAAATATATTTAATATATTGTTATTATTATTAGTTATTTATCGCGACACAGGCCAATATGGACCACGCCTATATAGTTTCTAGTTTATTTTTTGCCTTTATTCTTAACATTTTTTTCTCATTTCTCTTCTTCATTCTTCTGTCTATTTCTTACTTTCTTGCTTCTTCTCCACTACTTTATATTTTCTCGAATTTGTTTTTATCTTGGTAGTCTTCCTCTTTGTTACGAATTTTTCTACTTTTTAAATATACATAAATATATTTTAATGCAGGAGTTGTAGGGATGCAGAATTATGTAATGCTTCATAATTCGTATTATAAAAAAAAATTGTAAAAATTAATAAAGATTATTTTAAAAGTTGTTTTTATGGCCAATTAATTTAAAACATTCCAAATTAGTGTGACTCATAGTATTTATATTTCGACCTACTTTCAATGTCTACATCAGGATTTTCTTTAGATGTCAAATAATGAAACACTCACTGGGTCTTAAAATACATTTATGTTCAACTAAATCTACACCATAGGTATCTATGTATATGATTTCTTTTTTTTTTATGCTAATTTGTATGTTCATGGATATCATGTTTTGGCATCATTAAAATTATACTACATCGACGAGTGAGTTCTCGTTTTTGTTAAAGAAGCCGTTACCATTAAAAAATATAATGGCAAAAGAATTAGTTTTTAATGTGTAATTTGTTGATAATAACTAGCATTATCATAAACAGAAAAAGACAAGAAATAGAAAAATATTACTGTAATTTGATATACCTCTTACGAAAAAGATTTGTTTGTTCTTAGTGTAAATTTATCGTTTTTTAAATTCGAAATATATGATTTTTTTATGTTAATTCTTATTTTAACGGAGTTCATGCTTTGACATCATTAACATTAAACTACATCGAAGAGTGAGTTCTGGTATATGTTTTTCTTTTTTTTTGTTTTTTTTTTCGAAGCCGTTATGGTTGAAAAATATAGTGTCAAAAGGTTTAGTTTTCAATATGTGATTTGTTGATAATGACTAGGATTATCATTAATAAGAAAAATATATAAAAAAAAGAAAGATATTACTGGTAATTTGATATGACTCTTAAGAAAAAGATTCGTTTGTTCTTAGTGCAAATTTATAATTTTTAAATACTAAACATCAATTTTTAGCCATCGATATATTGAAAAAAAAATGTTCAAATTTATATATTAGCGTAAATTTATATACAGTAAATTTAGATTTTTTATTAAAATACGACATTTTATGTTATTTCTGATGGATATTTTTATAATGAGCTTTGTGTCGAAACGTCCAGCCAACTTATTCATCTCTAAATAAATAATTTATATTCTTCAAGATGACTAAGAGATATTAAATAAGAAATATTATTTAAATAGGTTACAAAGGAAAAAACTAAATTTAAATTGCAAAAATAGGCTCGAAGCAGACCAAGAATTCAAAGATAAATACCAGTATTCTGAGCCAACAGAAGAGAGTGTCTAAAAATAATTGGCTAGTGTATCATGTGTCTACTACGTCTCTCTTGTTAGGCTTACATTATTTCAAAAATATCTCATGATGTATACCAACGTCTCAGTTACTAAATTACATATACATATACATAATCTTCCATATATTATAAAAAATGTATTAATAATACAATATACAACACATATTAGACTTATTAAGCAAAACAAAATTTTGTATGATATGAAAAGAAATCTGGAGTGTTAAATAGATTTACAAAAGTTCACTCTTTCATATCATAATAATAAGGATACATTTTGGGTTATGTTAAAATTAAAAAAAAAACAAAAAAACACATTTTTAATAACACACTTTATTTATTTCATTCAGCGTTCCAGCAGACAATTTTTATCAGTTTTAAGAGTCGAGTCAAGATCTCATGGTGAAATTCTCACTATATAAAAAAAAATTAATATTCAACCACTGTAGCCCATTTTTAAATAACGAAATACTTTTTATAAAATTTTGGTTGTACAATGAGACAATCATTCACGTAAAATTGTCCAGAAAGACCGAAAATAATTCTTTATCAGTGTTTTCTTCTTTCATGTATTCATTAAATTAAATTATGTGTAGCTATATTTTTTTTTAATTCGATTTTCGTACATATAAATTTAAACTAAATATATAAAATATTTTTTTTTAATTATTTTTTAATAAAAATAAATTATAAAAGTATTTCAGGCTTTAACATTGGTTCAATACGCTATTTTTTAAATTATAATATTCAGTTTCAGAAGATTATTCTGTTATATCAGCTGTGGATCGACAATGAGGTCGGAAGACCCTCTTAGGGCACATCCAGCCTTATTAAAGTGAGTACTATTAATTATTTTTTCTCTCAATAATTTACGATTCAAGTAATAAAAATGAATGCATTAAATCAATAATCATTGATTGTTGGTTTCGATTCTTATCTCATTTCGTGTGTTTAAAGTATACTTAATTTTTATGAAAAGATCTTGACATGTATATTTGATATAGGAAAAGTAAATAGAACATGACAAAAATAGAGAAGAATCTACAATAATGGTATTCTATAAAAAAAGGAGGGGAGGATATATTTAACCTCGGCGATACTACATATGTAAACTCCGAAAAAAAAATTAAATTGCATCTATATATTTAACCTATATTTCAAAAATAATTATAACAGTATATTGAATCGAGTGTAAATTATTGATTTAAAGAAATATGATATAGATTTCATTAAATTAAAATGGTAATATAATAAGTCGATGAATTCAACCTCAGTGTTCCAAGTAACACGATACTTATGAATTCAAAAAAATAATAAAATGTTAAAAAAAAAAAATCAAAATTCATTTATACACTTAAATGTGAATATTTAGCTGTATGTAAATTAAAAATTTAAAGGGTATGAATTAAAGTTATAGGAATATAATACAATCAAAATTTAAATATGGTTTTAGTGATCAACTATATCAGATATCAAGGACGAATACTGAGCCCACTTTTATACTATACATTCTTGTCTTAAAAAAAAAAAGTAGTTTTGAGATCTTGCCACGACCCGAGTAGAGAGTTAGTGATTTGAGATAGAGCTGTGTAGTTACCTGACGGGAGGCCGATCTGTGACTGCGACCCCTCTCCCAGAAGTCCCCCCCAGAACATCCTGGGGGGGTGGGGGATTGGGGGGAGAAGGACTCCCCCGCCAAGGTAAGACGATCTGAAGGGACCGCCAGGAGTACAGACTTTATATAGCCGTCGGCCCCCACCACGTCTGGAGGAGCACACCACAGCACTGGAAGTACCTCTCAGGAAGTACCTCTGGAACTTTGAAGGAATTGAGGAAGATGGGTACCTGAGCCTTCGCTCCACGCTTCTACACCCGCCAACCTTGGCCCACGTCGCCAATATTAATCCGAAAAGAGTCTATATTTCGTGCCAATTTTCTCAAGATCGTTCGCCTGTTTTTGTTCAGTGATTTTTTTATTTTATTTAATTGAATACTTGTCGCTACATCTTTTGTATACTAATAGACGAGGAGAGTTTATATTAATATAAAGTGCAAGATATAAATAGACAGAATGTGGATATCGGATCCTTCACTGAAAGGTAATTCACTTTTTGTCTTGTTCATGTCCGACGCACAATGAGAAAAAATATTTATTTAGATAAATAAAAGTAAAATACACTACATTCATTTATCAACCCAATTAAAGTGCTGCTCCAATACGGTTATTTAATACATAACTATTCAACAATCTGTTTTCGTGAATACAGTTATTAAATTAAAAGTATTAATGGTTATTATAAAGGCCTGGGTTTTCGTACAGTAAAAACCCACAAAATATGCAATTAAACTACAAAATATGCTACTATACAATACTTGGTAACAATAAAAAGTACCTACAAAAATTCCTATACTAAAAAATAAATTTGGAAGAGGAAGTATTACAGATAAAATATAATTTATTAAAATTTATTTTATCCACCGAAAATAATTATAATGTAATTTGAACACCGAAAAACAGAAAAACAACTATTATTTATTTTTTATTGATATTATGAAACAGTTTTAACCAACTAAAATATCGAAGTGACACAAACTTTCAATTCGTAACAAATGAAAACAGAAAAAGTGATTTTATATAAAAAGAATAATTAATTTGTATAGAAAACTCAGACGAATATTGTAATAATTAAATCACAAATTAATTAAAAACACAATATGAGAAACATTTTTTACATTATACAGCATACAAATTAAAATAACAGAAACTTCTAATGTCGTTTATTTGGGATCCACTTTGAACCTAATAATTAAAAACTTTCGAAGAAACGTAGAAAACTATATTTTTTATTCTAATTGTAGTATAGAAACAAATAATAATAAATTATAATTTATTTGTATCAAATATTTCCGAAAATCACTGATGGAAATTGTTAAACTTCAATAGCCTTTTTTAAAAAAGAAAAAATAATTGTGGTTAGTTTCAGAGAAGAAAAATGATATATGATAAGGAAAAAAAAAAATATAAAAATTTTACTTTAGAAAAGTAACTTTTAGTTTAAAATAAAATTAATTTATTTTTAATTTTCATTTGAAAGAAGTTTTTTTAAGAATACTTAAGAAATGTTAGTTTCATTATTCCTCCTTGAATGAAAGCCCAGTTTCTGAATTAAGCTTATTTTTACGTCATCTTATTAAATATTTAGGTTCGTTTTTGAAAAAAATAAAATGTGTCATTGGATCCATTGGGTGTTTTAACATGGAAATCGATAAGCATCACTATTTTGAAAAAAATAAATAAATGATTAATGTTCATTTGGAAATAAACAACTAATATATACCCTATTAAAGTTACAGACACATGTAAGACCGAGTACTTTAACACAAACTACTGAAATCTATCTAATAGGAAGTACAGTTTGATCACCCCTAAAAATTCCCAACGTGTTTTTCCCAATTTTATTTCTTCTAAGAAAAATAGAGTTTATCAGTCATTTTGTTTATTTATTCGTGATAAAGATTTTTTCAATGTTATCATAATAATTTAAAACATAGAAAGCCAGACAGGAATTTAATATTTTATTATTTATTTATTTTAATACACGATTTAAGGAATACAATTTGTCGAACCTATATTTTTCGATTTTTCAAGCTTTTTTATTTATTTTAAAATTATGAAATATTAGGCATACTTTTATCGTCTCAATCCGATTCAGCGTTCCAACGATACACCAAATGTATATACTACAAATCTTATTTAAAAAAAAAAAGTTTATAAAAGATGATTTTGGAAAGATATAATAATTATTAGTAGAAAAAGGCCTTTTCAGTCTAGTCTCGACAAATAACTACTTTATTTCAAATTTATCCAAATTTTCGGGGATAATCTGATTTTACATGTAATTTAAATTTTCATCTGAAAAAACATATACAAACGTCTTTCAGAGGATTTACTATTAGACATTAGTCCATTTACAAAACCATATTAATGAAAATTTGAATAAATTTGAAAAAAAAGTAATTATTTATCCAGACTGAAAAGGCCTTTTTCTACAAAAAATAGTTTTCAAACTTAAAAAGCATTTGTTTTAAAAATATGTATGACTTATTACTATTGGTTGTGAGGCGCCTTTAATTATTTCTTATAAACCGTATTAAAGGTACATAAGAGGAGATTGTTTTCAAAACTCGAAATTTAAGCCCTGTCAGACTATTTAAATAACCTGTTATTAAACCCGGTTTAACTTTACATCGATAAGATGAATTTAATAAAAATCGTTAGAGCCGTTTTCGAGAAAATCGAGTTGGTATAGCCCTACAGACAAAAAGACAGTCAATTTCTAGAGACTTGGTCATTTCGACTCAAAAGAGCCTAAAACACGAATTTCCATTAAAAACACGAATTCGAATTTTTTACGACCGCAATACTTTACCTTAATACCTAAGTAAAAGTGAAAATTCCAGAAAGAACATCATGGTATTAATTAAGAAAGTTAACTCCTTGTGAAAAAATGAGAGGTTTATATACAGGATGTTTTGATGTATTTTTGTTTCATTTTTTTTTATATTGCTCTAGTCATTTAATTTCTTGTCATTAAATGTTATTAGCAATCCTTAAGAACTTTATTGTATAGGTTGATAAATGGATTATGTTTTATGCATGAAAAATATATAAAAATAAATAAACGGTCCTCATGCAGGGTTACTGTATGAGGGAAAGAGAAAATAAATAAATAGATATAAATATCTCTAAGAACCATTAAAATTAACATACACTTGGTAACAATACTTATTTAAAAGAAAGAACCATTATTATTTTATTTATAATTAATTCAGATTGTTAAGAAATATAATGTATCAACATTTAAAAAAATAAATTAAAATGAATAGTAATTGAAGCCAAAAGCTATTTTTTTCGAGCTGTTAGTTGAAACGATTCAGCATCTTTTATTTTTATTTATGAAAGCCCAGACGCTAATAGTTATATTTCAAAACAACTAAACAATAGCGGAGTATTTATAATTACAAATTGATTTAAAAATATTTCTTGGATGGTTACACTCTTGGGCGATAATAGACATGGCTGAAATATTTATTTCAGAACAAAGTGTTGGATAAATTTCGAAATAAAAAAATGGAAAAAAATTAAATGGTTTCATCTAATAAATAAATAATTTAAAGTAATGAATGTATATCAGAAAACATCTACACAACAATAAATTCCACAATAATATGCAAGAAAACAATATTTAATAAACTAGAATAAACAAAGATACAGTTGAGCTGTATGGAGATAATTAGAAAGCAATAGCCAAGATGGGCTGAGGTGGAAAATGACTAGTTTAGGTTGTCAAAGACTTACAAAGTCTGTAAAGTAAACAAGAAAAAATATATATTCGTAAATACCTATATACAGGGTTTCTCTTAATGGTTCTAGAGTTCTTAATGGTAAGACTTTGGAAGGTGATTTTAGACAAAATTTCCGAGAAAAAAAATTCCTTTGATGCATGGGTCGATATTAACGGAAAATGAGTTAAGACCAACTTTATATTTTTCTAAAGGTATCACGTTTTTGATAGCACACGGAAGTATTGCTCAAAACTGCTCAAGATTATTAAATTCTAAGTACACCATCGTAAATCTTATTTTTAATATTCTTATCTTTAATAAAATATTCTTTGAGAAAACATTGATTAAATTTACTATGGTTAATGATAAAAATGATTTCAGGAGGTCTAATATGGCTCGGATATAACTGCAGGGGTACAGCGGCCGTATTAAACCTTCTGAAAGTCCCTTTTATCATTGACCTTAGTAAATTCAATCACTGTTTTCTCAAAGAATATTTTATCTACTTTGCTATGGTATACATAGAATTTAATTATACTTAACAGTTTTTTAGCAATACTTTCGTATTCTATAAAAAACGGTACACCTTTAGAAAAATATAAAATTGGTCTTAACTCATTTTCCTTTTGGAATTGGCCCATCCGTCAGATTATATTTTTTGTTAGAAACTATGTCTGAAATTATCCTCAAGAGTTTGATCATTAAAAACAGAGACATTCTGTATATATAGAAGCGAGTAGCACACATGAAAATAATTTATAAAAATTGATATTTTTTTGTCTGATTTTCATTTGTTTAAATTCTATAAGTTTTTTTGAAAATTATTTTTTTTTGTGTATTTTTCGGAAATGAGTCAAATAAGTTCTAAAATGAGTTATTTGCAAATAAATTTTTAAAAAATCGTATTTTCATAGGATAAGTTATCACTCAACGGATCCTGGAATTTCCTATTCCTATTCCTGGAAAGTATCTCACGCCAACGACCGCCCAAGTTTTACTGTGATCAAAATATTTTTTTTATAACCCTCTGCTAATGATGGTTACAAAAATCAGCTGCGATAATTTGAGATTTGGTTATTATCTGGCAAATTCAGTCAAGAAAGTTATACCAAAAACGAGCTAAAAAAAAAAATGCTTACCTGTATCTGAATAAATGGATACCTAATATAATTTACTCATTATTGTCATAGAAAACTGGAAGAAAAGTATAGAAAAAAAAACTGACAGAAAATGAGAAGGAAAATATTGAAGAGAAATTCAAACAATTTCGTGACTCATACGTGTACTGGGGTAATATTTTCAGCTCATCACCCCATGTATTTCGTTTTTTTTCTTTTGTCAAATATTTTGATTATATTG